TATATATTTATTATATACATATATAATTAATTTAACGCTTTTCTTCCGTTTTTATATATATATATATATATCAAGAAATTATCTTATCTTGTACTTACTTTTTTAGCCGTATCCGTCATTATATATTTTTTCTTAAATTTATCATACACTTATTCTATACTTAAAATGCGTTCTGTTTATTTAGAAATAAACTTTTTCTCCTGCGATTTAACCGAGCGATTGTACAAGCAGAGAGAAGAATGAGAGTCGCCACGCTGCCCTTTTTCGTGTGACGCTCTTTCTAGGTCGTACACTAGCGTCACGTACATCCATTTTACGCCGCCTGGAACTACATGGCCACATCCACTTTCGGAGCCGATAAAACAGCCGATTGGTTCATGTCCGTGCTACATCCACTTTAATACTTCAATAAAATGAATTTAGTTTCATAAAACGATTCTAGAAAAAGACAATGTTTCGGATTAAATAGCTTTCTCTTTCATCGCGTATGTGTGTAGCGTCCGTGAAGGCACACACCGATACGTTGAACACACGGATGCGTTTGTTGGGAGATAATATCAGACAAGGAGCGACTATCCTTGTTTCTCTAGCGTATCGCTTTACGACCGAAATACGGCCTGAAAATGCTTTCTGGCCTCTCGTGACAAAAAACAGTAATGCAACAAGGCTAATAACCACCCACTTTTTGAGAATTTTATACATGCGTATATATGTGGATATATATATATACAGGGTGTCCCAAAGCACCCTTGACAACGCTCGTGAGCAAGTAGAGCACAGTAAACTGAACAGAAACGTTCTGTAACATTTTTTTTTATAACGCTTAATAAAGGAGTTATTATTGAATAACGTCTGGCCAATCGGCGTCGACCTTTTGCCGCGCGCCTGGTAGTGTGCGTCAGCGTTCCGTCGCTATGGCAACGCACACTAACAGACGGGCGGCTCACTGACGTGCGTTCGGCTAAAAGTCGGCGCTGATTGACCAGACTTTATTCAATAATAACTCCTTTATTAAGCGTTATAGAAAAAACTGGTACAGGACTTTTCTGTTCAGTTTACTGTGCTTTACCTGCTCACGAGCGTTGTCAAGGGTGCTTTGGGACACCCTGTATATTTAAATTATAGTTAAAATTGTACCTACAATTAAATATTATATGATGATTAATAATAGTAAGATAATAGATAATAGAGTGAACAAATACAAAATATGTAAGACACGGGGGCCTATTAGATTTGATGATTGAAATTATCATTTAACATTGCTTTTTATGATTTGTACTCTTTGTTTTAAGAATGGGAAAGGAAAAAACAATTTTTAATGTAAATGTCTTGTACGTTATATATATAAAAAATGTATATTTTTTGGTACATAATGTTTAATGACGCTTACAAAAACGTAAACAAAAAACTATTTAATCCGAAACATTGTCTTTTTTCTAGAATCGTTTTATGAAACTAAATTCAGTTTATTGAAGTATTAACCTTTTCCGGAAAGGGCCTCAGCAAATTATTGTTCGAATTACCGGGGGCGCGCGCACCCCCGATACGACCGTGAGCGCGCCGCCCGCCGGTCACAGCGCGCGATAACGCGTGATTGGCCGCGATAATACGCATCCCGTGTGCGCAGCCCCGGCTTGCCCACAGGTATCGATTCTGGATCGCGACGATCAAGTAAAGTGTATGCGTAATAACGTATCTACACGAAAACAAGCGTAAGAGTGAATTATAACCTAGAAAATAAAAAGAACGGAATAAGTCGCTTGTTGTTCTTCGAGGAAAACTCGTGTTCATAAACTTATAAACGTGACTAAGCGTGAGCTTGAAAATTTCTCCGTGAAAAATGAGCCAAACGTCGGTCAAAATTCCACCTCTCCAAAAGGAGAACTATGATACGTGGAAGATTCACATGAAGGCACTACTCATAAAGAATGATGCGTGGGGTTATGTCAATGGAACGAAGACAAAACCAGTCGCGACAGGCACGAATGCAGCCGAAATTACAGCCTGGGAAATAGCCGATGAAAAGGCCATGGCTGACGTCATACTCGCGATAAGCGATAATCTGGCAAAAATTGAAGAGTCTTTATGAATCCGAAGGGCCAACGCGAAAAGCGATGTTGCTAGAAGAATTAATAAACCATAAAATGGAAGAACATCAGGACATGAGGGATTACGTGGCAAATTTTTTTGACACGGTAAATAAGCTGGAATCAATGGAGATAAAAATTCCTCAAGAAATGATAGTCGTTTTATTACTATCCAGCATTCCAAGATCCTATGCATCTTTTAGAGTGGCCATTAAAACACGACGAGAATTGCCTACTCCGGACGAGTTAAAAGTAAAATTACTTGAATTTCAGGCAAGAAAACGAAACAAAGACGAAAAGTCCGAAGCTATGGTGGCATCGAAGTCATCCCGGAATTTCAAAAACAAAAATCAGGAACACAAATCATATGACAAGGGAAGTGAACAACGGTTCAAATATAGATGTCATCGATGCGGCAAACTCGGACACATATCAAAAGACTGCAAATGGCGAAGGTCAGATAGCAACAAAAAACCAGACGGAAAAGAGACGTCGAAACAAGCAGAGGTAACTATGAAAGCTGAAGTAGCTGTGAAAGCCACACCTAATCTAGAAAATAAATGGTGTTTAGATTCTGGTGCCACGTCACATATGAGTTCCTTTGAGAAAAAATTTGAAAATATTGGCAAATCCAATACATTGAAGGTAAATCTAGCAAGTTCTGACTCAACGACAATAGATGGAAAAGGATCTGTCATAAATAACGTAAACAAAAATTTTTCTACCAGACTCGAAGAAACTTTGCTCGTACCCGATCTTCGCTCAAATTTAATGTCGGTCGCCAAGATCACTAATCACGGATTTCAAGTTCTATTTCGAAAAGAAAACGCTACAATAATAGATCCAAAAACAGGAAAAGAAGTCATTGTAGCTGAAGGAGAACAGGATTTGTATTTTATTCAAGAATTAGAAAACAATTATTTCGTCGCACAGACAAATACATCGAAGCTCCAGGAGTGGCATGACAAATTTGGGCACTTAAATGAAAAAGATCTAAAAGATCTGAGTCGGCACAACAAAGTTCACGGAATAAACGTCAACAGCAATGAAAAACTAACAACATGCGAAGTCTGTATAAAAGGAAAAAAGACACGAAGCCCCTTTCCACAGTCAACCTCTCGATCCAACGAAATTCTAGAATTGGTCCACACAGATCTCTGTGGTCCAATGAAAGTTGAATCCCTTGGAGGTTCAAAATATTTTGCCACCTTCATTGATGACAAATCGAGATGGTGCGTAATTTATTTTCTAACAAGAAAAAACGAACTTTTTGATAAGTTTTTGGAATTCAAGGCCAAGGTTGAGAAACAGACTAGAAAATTCATCAAGACTGTAAGATCTGACAACGGGGGAGAGTATCGAAGCAACGAACTTGAAGACTACCTGAAAAAGGAAGGAATACGTCATCAGTTTACCGTTGATTACATGCCACAACAAAATGGCATTGCAGAACGCAAAAATAGAACACTTGTCGAAATGGCGACATGCATGTTGATTCAATCCGGCCTCCCACGAACTTTTTGGGCAGAAGCAATTTTGACTGCAGTCTACATCCGAAACAGATGTCCATCACGAAGCTTGGATGGAAAATTACCTCACGAAATATGGAGAGAGAAAATACCAAGTGCAATCCATTTTCAGATTTTTGGTACAAAGGCTCATATGCTGGATAAGTCAAAACATGTAAAATTCGATCAGAAAACGATTGAATGTATATTTGTCGGTTATTCCACAGAATCGAAAGTTTACAGATTGTGGGACCCAAAGTCAAGAAAAATTCGCAAAAGTCGTGACGTGACTTTCATAAATAATTTCGAGAATCAACAGAAATTTGAAGAATTCATAGACGTAAATCCTCGCGCAAGGACTCAGGCCCGTGCGAATCCAGTCCCCGCGGAGGGACTGCAATCCTGCATCCGATGACGTGACACGGCCCCGGAAAAGACGAAAAGAGGGGTGGTAGCGATACTTCCGGCCAAGCCGTTCGCCCTAGACCTTGACGAATAAAAACCACAACGAAATCAATACTCCAGAAGATATCAATAGGAATGAAGAAGAAAATAATCCACCGAATGCTCGCGAAGAACAAATTGTGCCAAAAATGAGAATAGGATCTGGACGTCCAACAAAAATACTCACAGGTCGAAGAGGACGCCCCAAAAAACAACCACACATGATTCCTATCGAAGAGCAGGAAATAAATCAAGAAAATCGACAAGAAGAACATCCCGAAATGAATCAAGTTGAAATGGAAGAACAGCTTTTAAATTATTTTGAGTATGCTGGTATAACTGAAAAAGGAGATCCACATACAGCAAAGGAAGCAATGTCAACACCGGAAGCACATGAATGGAAAGAGGCTATGCAGAGTGAGTATGTGTGAAAATGGTTACAAATATATTTCATGAAGTTGGTAACAAAAATGATTTTGAATTCAGCCGCAGGAACGCAACAGTACTCCCCTCCCAGCGTTGGTCAGAGCCTTAAATAATGCAGCTTCAAATTGAGGACCTTGGTCGGTTGTGATCGTCTGCGGAGTACTATACCTCGTAACCCAGTGCGTATAACAAGCTGTAGAAACAGTATCAGCCGAAATTTCAGTAAGAGGGATTGCTTCCGGCCATCTAGAAAATCTGTCAATCATGGTTAAACAATAACGAAAATTTTGACAAATAGGAAGAGGTCCAATCAAATCTAGATGAATATGCTGAAAACGCTGATCTGGAATAGCAATCTTTTGAGGAAGATTCTTGGTATGCTTTTGGATCTTGGCACGTTGACAAGGCAAACACAATCGAGCCCATTCTTTTATATCTTTCTTCATAGTTGGCCAAATAAATTTTTGTTGTATTAGTTTGCAGGTAGAACGACCACTTGGATGAGATAAACCATGAACAACATCAAAAATTTTCCTACGAAGCTGTTGAGGTACATAAGGACGGATATTAACAGTAGAGCAGTCACAGAAAATAGGCGTAGTCGAGCCATTAAGTACAAGTTTTTGAAGCTTGAGGGAAGAATTAGTGAGAAGTGTTTTCAATTCTTTATCTTCTTTTTGTAATTCTGCTAACTCTTCCAGAGAAACTATGATAGGCATCGAAACGGATTCAATTCTAGAGAGTGAATCTGCAACTACATTTTGTTTACCAGATATATGCTCGATGTTTGTTGAAAATTGAGCAATGAAATCAAGATGTCGGATCTGTCTGGGTGAAGCTTTATCCAATTTTTGTTGAAAAGCATAAATTAAAGGTTTATGATCTGTCCGAATAAGAATTTGACGTCCTTCAAGTATGTACCTGAAATGCTTGATGGCTAAATAAATACCAAGAAGTTCACGATCGTAAGTACTATAATTACCTTGAGTGTCGTCCAATTTCTTGATTATTTGTTTCAAAGATGCACCAACTGCAAAATCCGATGTGTCACAAGCGAGGATAAGAGGTACAGTTGAAGCCGGATGCGCTAAAGTTGTGACTCGTAAGAGTTCTTCTTTGCAATTTTTGAAAGCTTCTTCAGCTTCAAAAGTCCAAGTGACTAACCTTTTATCCCTTTTCCTGCTATCCTTAAGATAATCCGTAAGAACTGCCTGATGTGATGCAGCATTTTTCAGACAACGACGGTAAAAGTTAATAATACCTATAAATCTTCTTAACTCATGAATTGTTTTAGGTTTTTTATAATCAATAATGGCTTTAACCTTTTCAGATGTCGATTTAATTCCTTGCTTGGAAACTAAATAGCCAAGGAAAGAAATTTCATCCTTACCAAAAAGACATTTGGACAAATTAATCGTCATGCCGAATTGTTTAAGCCGAGAAAACACAGTATGAAGATGTTTGGCATGTTCTTTCTCATTAACAGAAGCAATTAAGATATCATCAAGATAACAGACACAAAAATCAAGTCCAGATAATATGATATTCATAAGACGCTGAAAAGTCTGAGCAGCATTACGCAAACCAAAAGGCATTACAAGAAATTCAAAAAGGCCGAATGGAGTAGTAACAGCTGTTTTTGGTATGTCCTCTTTTGCAACTGGCACTTGGTAATACGGACATGAACCAATCGGCTGTTTTATCGGCTCCGAAAGTGGATGTGGCCATGTAGTTCCAGGCGGCTTTACTTAAGACGGTCTTGAAATAACTGACTATGAATACCGGCCTAGATATACTATGTCTATGGGTTAGGCTGTGTTCCGATTCCCCACCCGGGTGCACCCGATATTATAGTATACGTGACATATACTCTTCCACTCACCCACTTCCCAGGTGGGGAATTGGAACACAGCATTAGATGAACGGACGGTTAAAATTAACAGGGTTCCAACTGAAGTGATATGAATGCTTGGTTTTCCTTTACTTCTATTTTCTGTTGGCCACGCTGTTAATTTTAACCGTCGGTTCATCTAACCGGACTTGGTGAAATTGGCCCCTAAGTGCCGGTTTACAATAGGTGATTTAAGCCTTAAGCTTTAAGAAATTGACTAAGTGCCGGTCTACAAGAGGTTATTTAAGCCCTAAGCCTTAAGAAATTGACCAATCACAATCAAGTATTCTCTTCATACTTGATTGTGATTGGTCAATTTCTTAAGGCTTAGGGCTTAAATCACCTATTGTAGACCGGCACTAATCGGGTTTAATAACATCTGTAGTTCTAAGGCTGGCCAATCACAGTCATTCTATTCTTCAGAGGAATAGCTGTGATTGGTCAGTTTTACAACTACGGATGTTATTCATAGTCCGGTATTCATAGTCAGTTCTTATATTTAAGACTGTCTTAAGCACAATCTTAAGATGTTCTAAACCAATCACAGAGCCGTATTAGCATCTTAAGACATTACTTAAAACGGTCTTGAAATAAGAACTGACTATGAATACCGGCCTAAGGGTGCCGTCTAAAGCCTTGTGTCCACAATGCTAGAAGTCAATCCGAAATCTCGGACCGAGAAATGTGTAGCCAATCAATTTGCAGCTTTTACGGAAAAACGGCAATTTTATTGGCTACACGTTTCTCGGACCGAGATCGGCCCTAAATATCTGCGCATGCGTGACTTAAATAGGAATCAGGGTACCAATCATGTAACTATTTCCCTAGGGCGGAAACGTGAAAAGTGAAAAATATTAGCATTGAAATCAATGGCAAAATAGCATCGTGGACACAAGGCTTAACAGAGCTGATTAACCCCAAAAAGTATGTATTACGTATGAAAAGTAAGGGCCGGAGCACAGACTTTTGCATAAGCGCATAACCATAAGCATAAGGAAATTGATTGGTCCATAAGTTTATGCATATGCTTATGGACCAATCAATTTCCTTATGCTTATGGTTATGCGCTTATGCAAAAGTCTGTGCTCCGGCCCTTACTTTTCATACGTAATACATACTTTTTGGGGTTAATCAGCTCTGTTAAG